GGTCAACTGGTATGGGTATTCGTGTCGTCGAATCATATGTGAATTTTGAGAATACTTTTATGATGCCAAAATACAAAGTTTATACGAATTTACAACTGGGTATCTCCACTTTCCTAGACAAACCCCCTAAAATGACTGGACTACTAGTATATCCAAGTTATACGAAATGAATATTAAAAATCAGTTACTATAATTTTTCGACTTTCGACAAACCAGCGTGGTTTCGTGCAAAAAAAAGCAAGGAAACATCTTTGTATGCTTTCATAGAACACGTAGTAACAGCCTTGGATAACAAACTACAAATTTGTGGTTTGCTCATCGAATTTTCTAGGGCACTTTACCGTGTTGATCAGTATGTACTTTTCCAGAAAATGCATCGCTATGGGGTTCGTTGAGTTGCACAAGATTGGATGGGGTCTTATCTAGAGAACAGGTCTTAAACGGTGAGAATCCAAAGTGCTCACATCCAGTCCTTGGCCTGCAAGCAAGGAGTTCCATAGGGATCTACACTGGGGCCATTGCTTTTTCTTATTCATGCAAATACCTAAATAGTCTTTCGAAGGTAAATATAGTTGCATATGCAGACGATACAAATGTTCTAGTCACTGATTATGATACATTAGCACCTGCAGAAACAAATGGGCTGATGAAAATCGTTTAGCACTAGATATCAGCAAAACAGCATTAGTAAAATTCTCAATGCAGAACACCACTGAAAATTTCAAAATATATGAAGATAGCCAACTAGAGGTGACATCCAATCCAGAAACCAAAATGCTAGGTCTAATTCTAGATCATAAGCTCAATTGGAGTCCTCATATAGATTTACTATGTGATAAACTACGAGAGAACTGTTATGCACTGAGATTTATCTCGAATTATTGTGGAAAAGAGGTTCTCCTAAATCTATATTATGCAACTATTGGCTGTCATTTGCTAGAAGGTTGCTGATAGAAGAGTCACATATACCTTGGACAGTCAACCAAAAACAACAACGAATGGATAGTTTTGAGCAGTATTTGCGTCATCCAAAAAAACTGCTACACCATCAATGAATTTTTTGCAAACCAATAATTCTTCACTCTAGACGGGCAGCTATTAGTAAACAATTTACCCTCTATAGGGTGTTATTGGTATCATAAACACTGTTAGTCCAGTCAAAGACATATTTCCTTTATAATTTCGTCAAACAGTATCAATATTGATAAATTGATGTGTAACCGTTTCTACGTAGTGGGAAATTATAATGAAGAAAAGAGAAATGAAAATTTCTATGTTTTTCACCACTTTTATTTGTAACTAACGTTACTGCAGTTTCGTCCTATTTTCAAACTTATACAATAAACTAACAATGGTTCATTACATCAGCATAAACATTGCACCCGCAATGTTTATGCTTGTGAATTTCCAAGGATTCTAAATAATAGAGTTTGTAACCCTTCCTTATATAGTGCAAAATGTCTGTATCGTTTAGATTCGGGAACTTGTTGTTGAATGTGAAGGAATGGTTTGAAAACGTCGAATAATTTTTCTTCCTAGTCCGAAGGACTAGGCGTACCGTTTTTGGAAATTTCGACCACATTGTCCCACATAAACACTATTACACTCCGGCTTATAAAGTCCAGATTTCTCCAAGTTGTCCACCTTATCTTTGGCATTGAAAAGGAAATCAGATAACCTGGCATGTGCTCTGAATGCCACTTCCACATTGTTTTTTTTCTGAAGAAACCCGCAATTATCTCTGTTCTTTTTCCAAAATATGTTAGAGTCACCCATTTCTTGATTTCTGGTTGTTTGACCAGAGGGTATATTAAGCTGTAAGTGAATTTACGGCTTTGTTTTCTGGATAGTATCTGCGTTGAAACCATTATTATTACCTATCTGGGTGATTATATTAAATTCCCTAGCTAGATTGTTAGTAGACAAAGGCAGCGTGAGCGACATTGAATTGTAGGCTACTAATTTATGACTGTCTGGATGGAGAGAATAGCTTGAGATGGTAATATCTGTATAGCTAGGTTTTCTGTTTACTATAGTGGCCTCCAAGTTGTTCATAAATATGTCTGCTAAAAGTGGACCAAGGGGTGAACTCATTGGTAAACCTAAATCCTGTTTATAAAATTTGTTGTTGAACTGTAGGTAGCTCTGATTTAGGTACACATTGAAAGCTTATCTTCTACTTCATAGTTGCTGTACCGGGGTTGCTATTAGCCTGGGGATGTATGCCACCCTTTATAGGTGGTGAACAGAGTTTCGTCAAGAAAAATAATTGTATAGCCCTCGAAAGCAACTATATCGAATAATCAAATCAAAATTCATTATTTTTTTTATGTCAGCCTACCAACTTTTCAGCTCAACAGTGGGGTGCAAATATTCTTCAAAACTTTCAGGTCAGCTTCTCTGCAGTAACTTTCTTGAGAAGTTATGGCGTATGAGCATTTATTAAAGTGAATTACGTTTGTGATTGCGGGTTTTTCAGCCGTTCTACCTGACGTTTCTCCAGTGCGAGTTACTGACATCTTCAAAGGTTTGTGCTATCGCTTTCAAGATTGGAGAATTCAAGGTAAAAAGAAAACGTTGTCGAAATTGCAATGTTTTCCAGAATAACTTATATTCTAAAAATTCATTAGTAATCGTAGTAAAAATCACATCATGGGTTTTGATTTTATTGTCAAATAGTTATTGTTCTTGATGGACTACCATCGTCACAGCTATTTCCTCATGTAATTTCACCTCACATCACACTGTAAAATTCATAATCATTATGTTCATATTTTGGAACATAGTGAGCTCTGAAAATGGAGAGTATTCAACATAAAGTCGGCAATGGAAAGTGAGTATTTCATGGTTAACTAGCTTGGAATTGATATAGACTTCCGTGACGACCAACAGGTTCGCCCTACCTAACCTCCATTGATTTTCAGCGAGACTATTTGAAATGCGATAGGTTCTCTAACTGAAGGATAGTCTCAAAAAACCCAAAATAATCAATTAGATCACATTTTCACAAACTGTTCATACTCCTTTGATGAGGTTTATATAATTATAATTTGTTACAGGATAACTTGTAGATTGGCTTGAATTTCGATATGATTATTAGATCATATGGATACAAGAACTAACCAATTCATGAAAATAAGTATTTGAAATCATGTACCTAATATTTTATGAATCAATCTATATACAGTGCATTTCTTTAATGTCCCTCCTTTTATTTTTTGAGCTGGTCAAAACATTGAAATTTAGGATAATGAAATAAATGCATGAATACTTTATTTTGAAGTGAAATTGACAGATGAAACTTTCAAGAT